CGTCAGAGTGGCCACAAGGGTTTGCGGGGTAGGAGGCAGTGTGGGGCAATGGTCAGAGCCACATGCTCTGTGGGGACACAGACCTGGGGCCATAGAGCTGTGTGGCCTTGGAGAGATCTCTCAACCTCTCTGTGCCTATTTCCTCATCTGTTAAATAGGAAAAACAACAACATCGGTTACAATAAACAATGGATTTTGTAGGGCTACTGCGAGGAATCGATATGACGATGCCTGAGGGGTGCCTAGAATAGTGCCTGGCCTATGGTATATCTTTAATAAATTTTAGAGAAAAAATTGCCAGCGATAATAACAGCCAAAGTGTGGACGTTGATACAAGCCCCGGAAGATAAGAGGCCTGGGTTTTAAGCACACGAACACACAGGGCTGCGGGATCTTGGGAAAGTGCGGCTGTCTGTCCAGATGATCTCCTGGCCGCTTAGGGACGGAGGGGCCTGGGGCTGGTGGTTGCCGGGGGCCAGACTCTGTCCTGGGACCTTTCCGTGTGAAATGCTGGTAAGTTTTAGGCTCATGGTGCCCTGTCCTACCACATTCCAACCTTCCGCCTTCTCTGGACTGTAAACTGGCCCGTGATTACGATCGCCGGGTTTCCAGTGAGGAAGCCGGAGGCCCATGTGGTTAATGACTTGGCCAGAATTGCACCCTCTTGGCCACGGACGGCCAGAACCACAGTGCCGATCTTTGCTTGGAGTTCTTGGGAGGCCTATTTGTTCGTTTTTGAACACCCGGCCATCCTTGGTGTTGGCAGCCCAGACGATCGACGCTAATGTGCAAAAGCCCTGCACCAGGGAAGGGGCTGGACTGTAAATAGGAATGTTCTGGAACGTGCCGGTACGATCACGTTATGGCCGTGTTTCACGGGTCTGGAGCCTGAGAGATTACAAAGTATTTGCTCATTTCATCTCATCTCTTGTCTTCTCTTCTTCCCAGGAACCTGTGATGTCTTCATTCCATTTCACAGACCCCGATGGGGCAGAGAGGCAGGGACTTGCTAAAAAGTCCCAGAGCCAGCACATGTTGTAAAGGTAGGACTCACACCCAGATCTCTGGGTTCTGAGCCCAAAGGTGCCCTCTCTGATATCTTCTGGCGCTCTACAACCTGGCCAGGGCCCAAGGGTCACCAAACCTTTGCTCCTCTGGGAAGAAAGCCCAGGCAGAAGCCGCCTCCCGGTCTCCAGGGAACGAATGCCCTGTCATTGACCATCATAGCCTAGAGGATGCTGGGAAACACCCTCTCAGGTGCAAAGACCCCCTCCCCCGCCCCACAGTTGTTACAAAAAGGGATTCACCTACCCGGTGAATTCCCTGGGAATAATTGCTAAATATCTCCTAATTTGGGAGACAACCACTGTTACAGATGCCTGACTGCTTTCATTAAAGCCTCACCCATCGCGACGTGCTGTTCCGGGCAGCCAAGGCGGGGGCAGAGCTACAGCCAGTGTGTGCTTCACAGACAGCAGAGTGTGCTTACGCAGCCCCCACCCCAGCCTTGTGAGGCCCCCAAACCTCTCGCAGAGGCCTGCTTCCTCCCCCACCACCCAGGTGACCCCTGGCCCCGCAGATACCCGGGCGGCCCCGGCGGCACTGGATGAGCCAGACCGTGACTTTGTACAGGAAGAGGTGAGGCCAGCGGCAGCGCCCTGGGGACATGCGCGTTCTGGTGTGGGGGCCCGGGGCGCGCCTGCCACCCCGGGCGTCAAAATAACCTCAGCAGGGTGCTCTTTGTGATGGCTCTTGGGGCATCCGTCCCCGCTCCTGTTTTCCAAGCTTGGAAACCGAGCTCCAGGAGCTCACGGGTGACGTGGGCAGGCTCTGAGGTCTGTGCATCTGACTCCAGACCCTTCCGTACAAGCCCGGATGCCAGAGAAGGGCCAGTCTGGGGAAGGGTGCGGGACCCACAGGTCACAGGAGGCCTGAGGGCAAGGCCAGGAGGATTACGAGACGCGGTCGGAGCAGACCTTGCTGCAGCAGAGGGAGAGGGGGGCGAGGACGGGTTGACGCCAGACTGGGGCCAGGCTCCCCGCTGGGGTGGGGGTGGGGTCGGGACATCCTGGTAGGAAGCTGTGGGGGAGGTAAGGATGGGCACAAGCAGCCTCTGGAGGGTTCTACTAGGAGCCAGAGACAGGTGCGGTCAGGTGGCAGGAGCCCAGCAGAGGGCTGCCCTTGAACGACCAGTCTGTGGCCCCTGAGAGGTCTTACAAGCACTAGGCGGGACTCTGTGACCCCGGGCACAGGGTGGGGGTGAGTCGCAGGGAGACAGATGGACATTCCGAGGTAGGGAAGGGGTCTGAGGTCTAAGCAGGCTTGGACTCAAGGCTGCTGTCTGTGGGGACTGCAGATGCACCTGCGGCCAGGTGGGCTGGGGGTTGGGGACTGGGTAGTGACGTCTCCTGGAGGACCCGGGAGGAGGAGTGTGGACGTGGGGGCTATATCAGGTAGACGGGTACCTCCAGATGGAAGGAAAAGCCCTGGGGTCTCCTGGTGGAGCAAAGCCGAGGACACCTGGGACAGATTAGGATGGGCTCGAGTGTCAGCCAGGATCATCCTGGGCTCAGGATCCAGATAAAAGGACTCTACTCCCTCCCCCATCCCCCAGACACCCCGACAACACCACCCTGCCATCTCTCCTTTCACAGCTCGCCTTTTCTAGAATCTTCTGTAAACGGAAACTTACAGTATGCAGCCCCTCGAGTCTGGCTATGTTCACTGAGCGTAACGGGTTGGCCATCCATCCGTCGGCCATTGCTTGCATGTTCGCGGCTCGTGCCTCTTTATTGCTGGGTAGGATCCCACTGAACGGAGAGACCTCAGTCTATTTTTCCCCTCCACCCGTTGACGGACAGCTGGGCTGGTTCCAATTTGGGGCTGCGATGAATAAAGCTGCCATACTGTTGGCCTATGAGTCTCTGTATGAACATATGTGGTCCTTTCTCTTGGGTAAATGCCGGGGACTGGAGTCGCCAGGTCACCCAGCAAGTGTATATTACACTTTTAAGAAGTTACCGAACTGCTTCCCAAAGTGGCCGTGCTTGGCGTGCTCCTTCCCCGTCCCCTCATCTGCCAGCCAGGAGTGCTTTCCAAAAGGTCTTTGCCCCTTATCTTAACAAAAATCATCTTTTTAAGACTTCTTAAAAGTGTTTTCATTTATTTATTTTGAGAGAGAGGGAGAGAGAGAGGGAGGGAGAGACGGGGAGAGAGGGGGAGAGAGAGAATCCCGAGTAGGCTCCACGCTGCCAGCACAGAGCCCGACGAGGGGCTCGGACTCGTAAAGTGCAAGATCGTGACCCGAACCGAAACCAAGATTTGGATGCTTACCTGACTGAGCCTCCCAGGCGTCCCCCTCCTTTATTCATTCATTCATTCATTCATTCATTCATTCATTCACTCATTCATTTATTCTTTCTGGTTTTCTTAAAAAAGATAGGCTGCATGTTGCATGCTTTGGTCGGGATCTTGGTTTAGGTAAACTCCGTGTTCAATATTCTCTTGCAAGGGAATCTCTCAGATCGTGCACGTGGCAGGAGCCCACGCATTGTTAAAGCTATTTGATCCTCCCCTGGCTAATATATAGCTATTTATTTATCCGTTCTCCGGGGCACATTTGGCCCCTCCTCCCAGTGTTTTGCTAGAAGTCGCTATAAATATTTTCGTGTCTGTCTCCGGATCTCCATGCGCAAGGTGTCCCCAGTGTACGTGTTGGGACAGGGCGGCTGGGTCACAGGCAGGGAGACCACCCAGAACGACTTCTCTTTTGCACTCCCCCCCTCCCCTTTTTTTAAAAATGTTTTTATTTAAATTCTAGTTAGTTAACATACAGTGTAATAACTTCCTGCATCTTTCCTGTCTCCTGAGCCCTGCCGAATGCCAACCTCTGTGCTGGGCGTCTCGTTCAATTCTCAGAATCACATGGTGAGGAAGGTTGTATGATTATCTGCGTTTTACAGACCAGGACCCTAGGGCTCAGAGAGATCAAGTCACGTGCCCAAGGCCACACAGCTAGTAAATAGCAGGGCCAGAGTCAAACCCAGATCCCGTGGCGAGGGACAAAATCCTTGATCTCGAGGCCCCTCTGTTGCCCCCCAAACACGGAACACTCTGGCACATCTCTGGGACAGCAGAGGCGGCGTAGACATAGGCTGGCCTGTGGACCAGGACTGACTTGCGGTCAATGCCTCCCTAGGGAGCACGGCGGGGGTTCACGTGTGCGTGGCTGAGACAGGCTGGTCCCTTCCTGCTACCTGTGTGCCCGACCCCGGAAGCGACCCCCCCCCCAAGCCCCCCGCACAAGGAAAGAGCCTCAGCCCCTGCCTCGCTTACATTTTACTGTCTCTTAAGTGGCCACAGGAGATGCTATTTCCCGACACAGAATCTGGCCCCATCCAAACCGTCCCTGCAAATGGCCCGTCCGCTCAGCCCATCGTCATGCGCCAGAGAGATGAAGGGAAGAACAGGGATGTGTTTCCTGTTTTTTTTTTTTTTTCCTTCCTGGGGTTAAACATCCCAGTTTGAGGTAAAACAAATTCCTTGCTGGAGCTTATCACCTCCAGCTGGGCCATAGGAAACCCCATTTAATCAGATCATTTAGCACTGAATCATGTTAACAAGATGCCTGGGCGGGCTAATTCTACACTTGCTGAAGGCCGGTCTCTGCGGGATGAGGAAGCTGAGAGCTGGTGGCAGGTCTGGAGGCCGCGGGGCCCCGGATGGGCTGGAGGAGGGCCCTCTCTCCTTGGATCATCTGAAGACGCGAGGCGGGAGCGCTGTCCTCAGCCCTTCGGGGTCTGCGTCGAGGGCAAGAAAGAGATCTCCCCGGGCCTCTGTTTGGGGCCCGCAGTGAGCGGACAGATGAAGGTCAGGCCAGGAAAGGCCATCAAAGACCTAAGAACCCCCAGAACCACTGCCTCGTCTCCGAGGAGTGAGAGGACACCCGCCCACCGACCTGGGGACCCCCCGTGCTGTGTTCATGACGATTCTGGCCAGCCCAGCGTCGTCCAGCTTCGCGAGCCTGGCGGTCACCATGCACTCCTCTGCCTCCAGCTCCAATCCCCCTGCTACAAACTCTCCCCACACCGCAAACTCATCATGGACCTGATTTCCCAGGGACTCCTCGGTCCCAGAAAAGGGAGGAAAGGTGGGGGGAGCATCAGCCTCCTGAGTGGACAATATGACCACTGACCTTGCCTGTTCCTCGTTCTTCCTGGCAAGGCCTTGGAGAGACCATGCTTAAAATGTGAGAGTAAGAGCTGGGAAGTGAATTAATACATGAATTCGCTAGCAGCCCTTAAGACTCTAGTAAGAACTAGCAGTCCAAGTAGCCCTGTCACTCGTCTGGGACTCGGCAAGCTGGGGCAGCCAGGGGAGAAGCTGTACCAGGAGGCAGGCTGGTGTCACCACAGGACCCCCTTGGGTGGACGCCTGTTAATCTAACGACCACTGCTGTTTTCGGAGGCCCTCAGGCTGGGAACGTGTGGTCCAGTGAGCGGTCAGGACTCGCCCAGGGCTGCAGCCCCCGTTCTGGGCTACCGGCCGAAAACCGGTGCTGTTCTCCCTGCTCATGTTTTCGTTCTTTCATTTGGTTACTCTAGCTGTCCTTGTCCCTTCCCACCCATGCTGTGGGCCTGAGAGTCTCAGATGTCCTGTCCACCCCCAATTTGCAGGTTCCGGAAAGATCCCTGATTCCCTCCCTGCCCTTCTGGGCGGCGGGCGGGAAAGGTTGAACTCTCCAAGCACGGAGCTGATGATGCCCATGGCTGGAGGTCTCTCTCCCGCTTCTCCGGACTGGGTGGTGGGGTTACTTACAGACACGTCTCATCCACCGGAGCCACGCTTTCCAGTTAACCGCCCTCCCCCCCCCACCCCCGGCCGCTGTCCCTGCACGTCCCACGCGTCCTTATCATCAGGTGACAGTTGAGTGCACACGTCCTGTGTGTGAGGCTCCGTGCCAAGCCTTCCGTGCATAAACTCATGCGGTTCCCGTGACAGCCCTCCGTAGGGGGTGGAACAATCACCCCGTTTTACGCACGAGGAACCTGAGCCTCGGCCATCGTTCTGGCCTGGAACCAGCTTGGGATTCCTCCTCCCGGAGTGGATCCCTCTGCCTTGGGTTCATCTGCACCTGCGCCCCGGGGACGCGAGCAGCCTTGGCCGGGCTCTGCAAGGTCCCCTCGGCCCTGCTGCCTTGGGCTGGGATGTCTGGGGGCTCCCAGGTACTTTCGCCTTCGTGCTGGCCTTTGGCCGGCTCTCTCGCCTTTTCGGGAGCAGACGTAGATGTTGGCCCTTTGTTTGTGCCTCCTCTGGTTAAAGACCCCGCCTTTTCCTTCCACGTGTCCTGTGTTTTGTGTTTACGGCTCAGCACAGAGAGTAAAAACGCAGAGTAGCACACAAGCTGTCTTGGTGACGTGCTGGAGCTTTCTTGCACAGGTTTGTGACTTCCCGTCGGCGGCTTGGCCTGGGCCAAGGTGGGAGCATTTACACCATGAGAATTGACAAGCGCCACAAATGAGGGATCCCCCCCACCCAGAGAGCTGGTTAAACACTTACCAGAACACACTGGGGTGGGATTGGGGCCCGTGAAGGTTCTTTCTGGGCCTCTTTCTATGCCCGCCTTTTTCCTCCGTTTCTCCCGCCTCTGCACGGAGCTCACTCCTCTCCTCCAGGCTGCTAATATTGATTTATTTTTGAGAGAGAGAGAGAGAGAGAGAGAGAGCACGGGCAGGGGAGGGGCAGAGAGAGAGAGGGAGACATAGAATCCGAAGCAGTCTCCAGGCTCCGAGCCGTCAGCACAGAGCCCGACGCGGGGCTCGAACCCACGAACCGTGAGATCATGACCTGAGCCGAAGTCGGGCTCTCAACCGCCTGAGCCGCCCAGGCGCCCCTAGCAGAACTTACTTAAAAAGAAGGAAATATTTGTAAACCGAACCAGACAAGGTTCCCGCCTGGAGCTGTATAACAGCACGGTTTCTTTACCCCCGTGCATGGGAGACAGAGCCTGGTCAGCGTCGCCCGTGACAAAATGCGGCCGTGCACAGCTGTGCTCCGTTCCTCTCCGTGAGCCAGCCTTCCTGGAAGCTGGAGGTGCCAGGGGTTCCTGGAAGTGTGAGTGCGCGGGGTGGGGGATCACAATACACCCCGGTGCCCTTCAGAACCCCTCGAGCGTGTCAAATACTCGGCAAGTCGGGCCCAGCTGTACGGAGCGATGTGGCCAACGCTTCACTGGCACAGTTGCATTAAAGATTCAGGATATAAATTTGAACAAGGATTAACCATTCCCAGAACAAACAGCCCTCGCTGGCACTCCTCCCGGCACACAAACCCCACCGCATTATCCGTGTGCAAATAGCCCTCCTGGTCTCTCTATCCCCCTCTGCCTGGCAATCTGCCTTCCACCGACAGAGTCCCAGGTTGGTGGCTGTTGGCCTGCAGGGAAGGTAGCCGAGTGTTGGAGGGACAACGGAGACCTCAGTCCGCCTGCTGGGGTGGGTAGCGTCTAGACGAGGCCCCCTCGGCTTCCCTTCTGTTCCTAAAAGACGAGAGGCACAACTCGGCCCCCATATGGCCCTTGACTCAACATCAGCCGACACTGGAAGCTGAGAAGAGTTCTGGGAGGAACCCCGGTCGCTCCCAGGGGCCTCCTGTTTTTGGACAAATCACAGCGATTCTGGAATTAGCATGCTGAGCCCGGTCTGGGGTGGCCCGGAAAATTCAGAAGTGTGGATGGGAAAGCCAGAAAGAAGAGCGATCGTGGTGGCTCCAACCTGTGAAAGGCCAGGACGAGTCCTCCCAAACCCGGACCTTTTGGGAATCGTGCTCTTTGGGGGAAGCAGAGTCCTCCGTGAACAGAAACGCTGCACGGTCCCGCTCACCCCCGGGGTCCAGGCAGGCGTGGGTCAGCGGGCCTGGAGTCGGTGCCACC